CTACAGTTTAAAGGTTCTTCTATACAGCAAGGATACATTAATCTGTTCAAAAGTGTATTTTTTTTGTTACAAAAAATGTATTTCAAATAAATGCTGTTCTTTTTAACTTTCTATTCATCAAAGAATCCTGAAAAAATTATCAGTTTCCACAAAAATATTAAGCAGCAAAACACTGATCATATTGAGAAATGTTTCTCATGTGACACTGAAGACTGTAGTAACGGCTGCTGAAAATTCAACTTTGCCCTCACAGGGAAAAATTTATATATTTTGAAATATATTCAAATAGAAAACTGTTATTTTAAATTGTAACTTATATTTACAAATATTAAAGAAAAGAAAAACTCCTGCAAAAAATTTTTCATATACAAGTTGACATTACTAATCGACTAGTCGGCTGATGGAACTGTCATTACACATACAGTTCATATATATATACATAAAAATAAAAAAAATCTAAATATTGAGAGTCACTCTTGGAAGTGTGGTAAGAAGCCAGATGGGGAAATATGATGTAAGAGACAAAATACATAAAGCAAACCTGATAAACTACTGATGACAACAATAGAAAAACAGTCTGTCAGAACAGACTCAAACAACTTAAAACAGAAAACAGAAACTGCTCACCTTGTTCGTAGTGCATGCCAGGCAGCGTCCACATCAGCATACAAATTCTTCTCCGAAGGCTTCCCTGAGCTTGCCCCGTAACCCGAGTAGTCGTAGGAGAACACGTTACAGTTGATGCGGGACCCCAGGCCGATGTAGAAGCTACTCATCTGGCCCAAGTCTACAGCATTACCATGGGAAAACAATAAGGTGTAGCGAGCGTTGGGAGAACATCGCACAAACATACAAGCGATTCGGTTCCCTCTAGATGTCCGGGTCATGAAGCACTCAATGGTGTCCTTCTCCCGGACAGAATACTGCCAATCCGCACGCTCAGAAAGATGGAGGGTCCAGCGGCTGCCGCTCTCATCACACATCAGGGTGTAAGTGGGCTCCGGTGGAAGGAAGGCCAGCTTGGAAGCTATTCTGCTCGGGCACGGCGGACAGCAGAATAGGCAACATAACTCACTCAAAGATAGGTGATTCATCCTTCATTTGAGAAGAACACAGCAGATTGGCAAATGAGTGGGGTGCAAACAAAGTACAATACAAACAAACAAAACAGATGTGTTTTAAAAGGATAAATCCTGTCATTTACTCACCCACATGTCATTTCAAACCTGTAAGACTTTCTAAGGAGCACAAAAGAAGATATTTTGAAAAATGTCAGTGTTTTTTTGTCCATACAATGAAAGTCAATGGGGTCCAATGTTGGTTTGAACCCCGCTGATTTTCCTTGTTTGTACTAACAGCTGAAACATTCTTGAAAATATCTCATTTTGTGTTCCACAGAATTATGAATATCATACAGCTTGAAGAGTAAATGATCATTTATTTAAATTTTTTGGGTGAGCTACATTTTTAAAGGTGAAGCATCAAGAGCGTAATCTGCATAGTCAGAGAAGATAGAAGAAAGAACTTAAAAACACATTTGAAAAAGCACCAAATCAGACATATCACCTTTATCATCATATTTGCAAACAATCTTTTCTCGAAGAAAACCATAATAGTTTACTTAAGATAAGAAAATATGCAGACCTGTTAGTTAATCTCCACTTGAACTAGACAGTAACTAACATCTAGTGATCCAATACAATGGGTGAATTATGTCCTTGAATTGTTTATGCCCTGCAGTTTCAAGTAATTCAGTTTTAAACGTGCACTGTTAGGATACAAAATACAATCGAAACAGTATCTAGGGTGGAACTAAACAGATTTCATTAACAAAAATGTTCAATATTCACGCCGGTTCTGCAGCGCAGGCAATAGTTTCTATCTTTGTGCTAATCTGATGTCATTTATAATGACTTTCAGACTTCACCCTTAGGATAGCTTTGACGTGTGTGCTATCAGATCACTTTATCTATGAGTCATGGCAGTTGAAAAACACCCTAATTTTTTGGTTTCTTAGAAGAAAATTTGACTAGACTTATTGAAATATCCAGTGTTTTACAAATCTGGAAAACATATCAGTAATCCATAACCACTTCCTAATATCCCAAAAATTTGTCTGGAAATCGCTTCACCTTAAAGGGATAGTTCACCCAAAAATGAAAATTCTGTCATCATTTACTCACCCTCAAGTAGTTTCAAACCTGTATGAATGTCTTTGTTCTGCAGAACACAAAGGAAGATATTCTGAAGAATGTGGGAAACAGAGCAGTTCTGGGGCACCATTGACTTCCATATTATTTTTTTCTCCTACTATGGAAGTCAATGGTGCCCCAAAACAGCCTGGTTACAAACTTTCTTCAAAATATCTCCCTTTCTGTTCAGCAGAACAAAGAAATTTATACGGGTTTGGAACTACTTGAGGGTGAGTAAATGATGACAGAATTTTCATTTTTGGGTGAACTATCCCTTTAATATGGACTCCAAGTAAGTGACCTCACATTAATTTAGTATTAAAATAACCATTTAAACTCTTAACAGTTTTCTTAACTAACTGGTGGACCATATTGATAAAAACAATGTGAATCAGAACCAGATCTGGCCCATGACAATCAAACCCTCGCCCTCAGTTTCAATGAGCAGGAAACCATCTTGTTGTTTGGGTGCTTTGGACTTCACACACAACATTCCAAATGTTTGGCTTCCATTCATATTTTTTCTATTTAAAGATCAGAATGGGTGAAGTACAAGAACTGCTTATTTCACTCACTTTTTTATTTTTTAAGATTTTTTCCCCCTGAAGTATTAAACAATCACTTTGTACACATGAATACATATATATTCAAATAAACAGTAGAGACCTGTTTATTATAAGAGATGCATCTATAAAACATTTAAGTATTTGATAGCATGATCTACATAGTTATTAGTAAGTTACATGATTTTAAGGTATCAGAGAACGACACAGAACTGAAATAAGCTTAGTTAACATTTTAATTCCATTGTCTAAAGGAGTGTAACCGCTTTAATTGAAAAGGCTCAAGCGAACTATTTGATTAGCATGGTCAGCTAATTAACGTTTGCTCATTAAAACCGTACTCTTACCTGTACTAGAAGGTCCTGATGCTGGAAGCGTTGGTGAAGGCAGGAACGCTTAGATCTGGTGAAGTCACTGTATCAGATGAGTCGAATAGGAGATTCCCTTTAAGCGATCACTCAGTCCACTTAGCCAGATCAAGAGTCCCTCAAAAGCTGCCTCTGGTCCGTGCGATCTTGACAACATGTGGTCAGTGTTTCATGGTCAAAGACTGACGGTGTTAATACAGGCGTGACGTTATTAAATGGACCAGTATTTCTAATCTAATCCGCTCGGTAAGGGTGATCTCACCTCACACCAGCGCGTCCCCTAAACTGGCTTTCTTCTGATTTTCTTGCGGAATGCCGGATATCAACGTCAACGATGAACGCTCTAATGACCAATAAGATTAATTGACAGATGCGCTCAACCAATCACACGCGTCCTCGCTGCACCCGGACAATGTCGAAAACACAATAACATGATGATTAATGATTTTACTGTTGTTGATGTATAAATCTAGATAATGATACATTTGTTGAGCTACCAAGAATTCAATATTACAGCTCAACATGTTTAACGTTTGCTGTGTTGAGTGAAGTTAGTAAAGCAGCCAATTGCTATTTACTTCCGCTGTTTTCGCATTGCGTCAATAGCCACTTCAACGTGTGAAGCCACGCGGTTTCTTATTCGGGTGTTTTAAACAGTCACTGTTTATATACTACATATATGTTAGTGTTAAAATGAGTTCTCAAAAAGGAAATGTTTCCCGATCGCGAGGCCCGAAACACCAGAATGTAACAGCCTTCAGAAATGACAAGTATGGTGCAAGCGCACAAGTTAAGGTAAGCGCATTATGAAATAAACAGTTTCGAATCAGATTGACATTTGATATAATATCAGTATTGTTTTCGGGGAGTTTATATAGCTGTTTAGGTTACTGGTGCATGTGTTTTTGTGTGTAATCGTCCCTTATGATGTTACCAGAAAGCCAAAGCAAAGCTTCATGATGGTCTCTGCCAGCACTGCAAAGATGTGCTAGAGTGGAAAGTCAAGTACAACAAATACAAGCCCCTTACACAGCCACGAAAATGGTGAGATGAGGGAGGATTTACTGCATAGCAACAGATGAAAGGCAAATAAACTCTGTGCCAAATGTTGTTTCTGTGCCTTTTCTAGTGTGAAGTGTCTTCAGAAAACAGTGAAGGATGCCTATCTCATAATATGCAAGCCATGTGCACTAAAGCTAGAGCTTTGTTTGAAATGTGGGAAGAAGGAAGACATTGTCATTCCGTAAGTAGATTCAGGCCTCTTTAGACTGACCATGTACAGATGTGTGTAACCAGTAGAGCACATGTGCCATCTTGTGGACATATGCATTAATGGTAAATTTACAGTAAAATATTCCTTTATTATTCATTTATTTCTGACTACTTTCACTGCTTTGTTATTATATCAACTGTGCATCATTAGAGACACTTCTTTAATAAGATTAAATAAAATTACCCCGTCATGTATGTGTTGAAGTGTGTTAAACTATTAACTGTTAACCAAAAAATTAAGTTCTTATAATTCACAGTTGTTTTAGGGTGTTTTAGTGTATCTGTCTGGTTTTTGTTTTCAGACTTGACAAGGAGGAGGAAGAAGAGGTAGAGAACACCAGCAAGCCAAATAAAGAGAAAAGACAGAAAAAAAGAGATGAGGAGGAAGAAGAGGATGAAGATTTTGATGACGTGGGCGTTAGCAATGATGACTGTGATAGTGATTCAGAGGCAGAAGGAAATTGACATTTGCCATTTTCATTATGCATTACAAACAAACAACTAAACCCAAGAACAACATATCTATGGAAACCTGAGGCTGGGTTTTGGACATGCACTCACCTGTTCACCTGCTGTTAATTGGGGAAAGACTCCCAGGAGGTGTTTTCCTGTTGGCTGTAGTGATTGTTTGTTTTCATCTAGACCCCTTACTGTGATCTTGGAGGAACTGAAACAGTAATATGCCGAATCCCTCAGTCTTGTTTTTTTAAGTCAACACAAGCATTTTGATAGCATTCATGTTATTGAGAAGCTGTGTGAATGAAATGTTTTATTATTATATGAAGCACATTTGGTGAAAAAAAAAAACAGAAATGGGAAGTACTTGATGAAACCGGTCCATTTAATAAAAGACCTACATGCAAATTTTGTACTGCTTAGACAGCTGTCTGTTTAGAAAATACTGAATTACATTCAATGTTAAATCTACACTTTCATTGTCCTGTTTTCTGTCTTGCTGTCTGTGATTTTGATTTATTTTTAACAGGTTTTTTTTTTTTATATTCTCTTGCATATCATTATGAGGGGCTGCAAAAATAAAGGGGACCTACTTTATACTAGGCATTATTAGTTATTATGTACTAATATTTAAATTAACAATTTGCAATGAACCTATTGTGTAGATACATGTATTTACATTGTACTTTTTAAAAATACATACGTGATTACTGCTGTAATTATTTTCTGTAAATAGTGCTGTAATTACACCATTTAACCCACCATTAAACCTACCCATACCTCTAAACTTATCCCTAACCTTAACCATATCCCACCTCAATAGCAGCAAAGGTGTTTTACAATATAAGCAAATACACTGCAAATATATTTTGCAATATAACAATAAGCACATTTGCATCTAGCAAGTAATCTTTTCTAATGAAAGTACAACTCATATAAAGTGGAACCAACATAGCTCTGCAGAATATCTTTTCTGAATCAAAAGGTATAGTAACACGTTAAATCACCATGTTATCGCAGAAGTATCTGCGATAACAAAATCTCCTTTACCACAGACATCAAAAATTATTCTATCCACAGATTTATTTATTTATATTATGTAAGTTAATACAAGTCAAAAGTAAAGTGAAAATATGTTTAATGGCTGCACTCTTTAAAAGGAATAAATGTCAAAAATGATCATGATTTTAACAGTAAAATACTAAAAATGCTACAGTAAAAACCTATTAATTGGATGACAGGAAAAACTAATGGACATTACATGTCATTTTACAGTAAAATACCGTTTTTGGAACTGGAATATTTTTTTACAGTATATTAGTATTTTCCTTCTCAGCCTATAGAAAAGCTCCTTATGAGGAGCTGTGGTTCATCATGTGGCTTTCTAATCACCAGCTGTTTTTGACGGTTATCAGTGTATTATTATAAAGGTACTCAACAGATTTCAGTACTTCAGTAGGTTGGTATGTTAACATTATATTAGTTAATGAAATACAGTTTCTAAATGTAAATTTAAGTAAACCTAAAATATTGCTACCAATTTTTTGTCACTGGTCAGGAAGGAGCTAGGATGGCTCAGTACAACTGGGTAATATCCAAAATGCAAAGCGTGTTTACTTGAGAGATGCCACCAAACAGTGAAAGTTTAAGTTGGAAAGTACCAGAAAGAAAAAGAAAAGAAAAAAATAACAAAAATACAATTAAAGTTCAAAACAAACATGATGTTACAAAACACAAAGAAAAATGCTGTAAGCAGCTAAACCTACACTCAAACCACTTTCAGGGGCACATCTTTCTACAAACACATCTCACTTCAGACATGCATCTCAACGAGATATTAAGATATGAATATTATATTAAGCTGGTACTCAGGTGATGACGTCGTCATCCCGATCATCATAACACAGTGAATAAATGTAGCTTATGTATAAGGAATACCCCTGTTGAAAAAAACAGCATATGCTGGTTAGGTATGTTTTGAAGCATGGCTGCTGGTTTGAGCTGGTTTAAGCTGGTCATGTGCTGGTCCTAAGCAACTAGCTCCTGCTCAGGACCAATTTAGGACCAGCACATGACCAAGTCATGACCAGCTTAAACCAGCTCAAACCAGCAGCCATGCTTCAAAACATACCTAACCAGCATATGCTGGTTTTTTTCAACAGGGACAGCTATTGAAATCATTTGAACTTTTCCTTTAATCACATCAAATGCGGAATTCACTGAATTAGTTCAAATAACTAATTTCAGTGGAGTTATATGTGCAATGTACAGTATTAACCAGTTTGTTCTGTTTCAGTACAATGCCTTTTATTTTTGTTTATATATGTAGTTTAATTGTTTGTCTATGCTATTGTAATGTTTGTTGAATGAGTCAGGTGAGTAATGTCCTAATATTGTGTGAATCCTGTCATGTGGGCTCAAGCGTTGCACAAGAATGGGGGCATTTCTCATAAGTCAAGTTTCCATGTACACTGTCATAGTTGAGTGAAATGATTGCAAAATGACAATTATTATAAAAATTAAATGGTAGTGTTGATGGATGAGACATCACATGACAACAATTCTTTTGAAACGTGCACTTATCAATTTTGACCACATAATTTTTGTGTTGAAATAATGCTGATGTGCTTACTAAAGAAAATACTATATATATATATATATATATATATATATATATATATATATATATATATATATATATTTTATATTTTATATAAAATATTTATCCAGCAAATGTCAACAGATTGTTCTAATATAAAACATTGCATGGGCAATTTGCACTGCAAGTGTGTGTAACGAGAAAACTTTTAAAGAGGTAATTAAGGTAACTTGATCATCCACTGAGCTGTCATTTGAACGTATTATGCTCTTTCATAGTGTCTACAAACATACAATACAGCTGGCCCTTCCACCTTCATTCTTATGAATTAGCACAGCCAAACATGACATTTCACAAATACTTTCAGTTTAATTCATTTGTTGTAAATGCAAATACAAAATATAACCAAAACTATAACTTAACCAGAACCTAATGAATTTTAGAATGTCATCTAATACCAATTCTTAATAATTATAGCACAAAATTATTAACTGCTGGATATGTTCTATGTATAAGTTATTATTGCTTGTATACCTTTATCCTCAAACAATTCTAGAGTTGTACTGTGGAGAGCATTCTGACAGGTTGCATCACCAACTGGTACGGGAACTGCTCCACTCTCAACCAGAAAGCCTTGAAGAGAGTTGTTGAGCTTCCCTCCCTCCAGAACATCTTCACCCAGCTGTGACCATCTACACTCCACGTGTGAGGAAAGCACGGGGGATCATCAGAGACTCCTGTCACCTGAGCCATGAACTGTTCTCAGTGCTACCATCAGGCAGATGGTATCGCAGTATCAGGACCCGTACCAGGAGACAGCTTCTTCTCGCAGGCCATCAGACTGCTGAACTCCGGACAATAACAACAACACTACACACCCGCCTTTCCCTTACACTGCACTCTATCTACACACCTGTTACACTGACTCTGACTGGCAGCACTGCAGCATGTCCTGCACCGTCCAGCACATGTGTATGCTGACTACATCTTCTCCTCTGCTCCATGAAAGCCTAATTACACTAAACATCACACCATCAGCATTGTACAGCACATCAATTGCAATCTAACAGCACCAACACTTACATCCCTGTAAGTTATATTTAAGTCTATACATATATTATACATATGCAAGTGTCCTGTGTGTATTCCCTGGGTATATGTGTATATTGTGTTAAATGTGTATATTGTGCAAAATGTGCATATTGTTAATATGTGTATATTGTTATTTATACATATACTGTAAATTGTATTTACATGTTGTTTGTACTGCCATGGCACAGAGTCTTGCACATAAGAATTTCACCACTGTTACACTTGTGTACACGATGTGTGACAATAAAGAGAGATTTGATTTTGATTTGATTTGATTTATTATTGCTTTATCCCAGTATCTAATGAATTCTGACTAAAGACTCCCATAGTGTAGGACACCTGCTACTGCTCATACATCACCATGACCGCGCGCCCCTTGCAAGTGTGTAATAAAATAATAATATACACTTGAAAACGTTTACATTTTATTATTATTGTTGTTGTTGTTGTTGTTAGTGGTAGCAGCGCGTAATTAAAACATCAAAATCAAGAAAATAGGCGGTGGTGTGCGATCACCAATTACAAATCGTACCAATGGCGCATTAAAATTTGATTGGATCGACGCTATGACGCGCTTAGAGCTGTTGTAATGATTACCGGTTTATGTCAATATACACTTCCCAGGAATTCTGCAATGCCTCTTGTCGTATATAAAAGTTCAGAGAAGACACATTTGAAAAAAATCTGTGTCAATAATGAATCGGAAAGACACGACAGCGCGCATTGCGCACGTCTTCAGGGGAACATTTGTGCACTCCACACCGAGAGCTGCGGTTGGGATACTGCAGAACTGTGTCTTAGGAGTCGACGATGAGGGCAAGGTTTGCTTAATACTCAATTACAATTCGTTTCATCTCCTTTTGATTTTATTTCGAAGATAAATGTTCTAACCACATAATGTATTAGATATAGTAAATTGTCATTTGCCAATGATTTGTAATGTACCTCAATATATATATATTTTTTATAATGGTAATTTTTTTTCTTTCTGAACAGATTGCATTTATTGAAAAAGATCAAGACGTGGTCAGTCTTTCAAAATTGTGGGGGTTTGAAACTTCAGACATAAAACAGCTTGGACAATAGTGACTACATCTATCAATATGAATTGTATATATTCTATAGTCTAATACACTTAAGTCTTACATAAGTCTGTTCAGGGTGCACACAGTCACTTTTGCATTCAGAACAACCATTCAGCAGCAGGTAACAAAAGAGCAAAACCCTTTTTGTAAACCAGCTTTGTGATGAACATGTCAATATTTGTGCAATAATAAGCATGTACATGCTTGAAATCTTCCCATATCCATTGCTCTCACCCTGTTGCAGTGCCATTGCTTAATTTTACTCAGTTAGCATTCAATTTTGCTCTACAGTGAGTTTTTTATGCCTGGAATGGTTGATACACGCATCCATGCGTCTCAGTATAGCTATACTGGCACCGCCTTAGACCTGCCTCTGCTGGAGTGGCTCAACACTTACACTTTCCCTGTGGAAGCCAAGTATAAAGACTTGGGATTTGCCAATAATGTCTACACTAAAGTTGTGGTAAGCTAATTTAAATGGACTACATAACATCTAAATAAATGTAACTCTAAAGTAAGGTAAATCATTGATGGAAATGATATGGATATAGAATGCATGTTGCATATATTTCTTTTTCGTTTTTCCCTTTTCGTTGACTGTTTGGCACTGTAGAGAAGAACCGTAAAGAACAGCCCCACTACTGCTTGTTATTTTGCCACAATGCACACTGATGCCTCTCTTCTGCTTGGAGAGCTTGCAGGTAAAACACATGCAACCAAGGACACACATATTAAAAGAATTTTCCCTGTGACTGTGTCTGTGCTGGCAAGCACAAACACAGCCTTTCTCTAAACTTTGGAGTCTTGCTTTGTACTATCTTGTCTTAGCTCTTGTTCCTGCCAGTCTGTTAAGTAACTGCATTTATGTTTGCTTTTTTCCATATTATGTAATTAGAGGTGCACTGTGACCTATCATTCTGTGAAGTATAATTGTAATAACTCTGTGTAAACTTCAATATTATTTTAAAATCCTCTGTCCACTATGTTGGAATCATTGGAATCATAAAATCATTGATTTTAGATGGTGATATACAGTATTTCTGCCCCTTTTCCACTAGATAAGTTCGGACAAAGAGCTTTAGTGGGTAAGGTTTGCATGGACTCCAATTCTGCAGTTCCACAGTACAAAGAAAGTCCAAGCGAATGTAAAGAGGAGACAGATCCGTCAGTTTTGGAGGACTGTGTGACTGACACAATAGTGTTAGCTCATGTACACTGTACAAAATGACTGATTTGATGTCAGATTTTTTGTTATAGATTTGTTATAAGATTCTGCTTCCTCTTGTTTTTTTTGTTTTGTTTTTTTACAGTTTCATCAAAGAGCTTCTCAAAAAAGGAGGTAAATAACAGGTTCATTCTTATTAATTTAATTGGTTTATTATAAAACTCTAGTTATGCTGATCAGAGTTGGTATTAAATAGTTGTGCCTAAATTATTTCAGGCTCTGTAAATATGAAAATAAAAATATATTATCTGACTGTTTCGCTCCCTCCTGTTCCTCCTCACTGCTCAGTGAATTGGGTGAAATCGCCAACAAAAACAAGCTTCACATTCAGGAATGTCCTTTCACACATTAACATTTGATAAACAGTGATTTACAAAGGTTAAAGAACATACAAGTAACATTCAATTGGTTTATGGCATTGTTCACATGGTAGAAGTTTGAAACGTGGTATGATGACTTCTTAGGCCCGATCAGACAGAATGCGTTTTTCAGGTTTGAAAACACAAGGTGCACCACACTGCCTTTTTTTTTGGTTGACTGTTTTTAATTTAAAAGAGCTGTGCACTTTTTTTATGTTGCTAGGCAACCACCGCATTCGCTGTCCTGTCAGTCTAATCAAGGATTCTAGTGCGTCCGTCACCACAACAGAAGGCCCACCTCTCCATTCATTCGATTTGACAATTGAAAAAAAAAAATGACACCGGGCGCTTTTCTGCTGAGAGTTGATTTCTTTTCAACTTCAGGCGCTCAGAGAGCCCCTACAAAAACGCGAGGCATAAACAGCTTGCAAAATGTTCACTGCCAATAGAAAACAATTAAAAAAGGTGCCTCTCACTGCAGAAATCTTGTTCTGTCTGATCGGGGCCTAAGAGTTTTTGATTGACACATGGCCTTATACTTGTTATGGTATTAGAACTTTCAGTTCTTCATGTTAATAATTCTTGTAAAAGGTGATAATGAGGTGAACTATGGGTGTTTCCAGCTTTGTATACTGGCCTTTAAGATGGAAGTTTACATTCTGTTTGAATATTAAGAAACATGCACACGTTCAGATAGTCCATCAGCCATTATAATAGAGATTCTGTGCAATTTTGCTTTATAAAAATAATTATAATTATAAATTGTAATTGTAATATTATAAATAAATGCTGTAAATATTATAAACTGATATTCTAAACTCAATAGTTAAAAATAATTAACAGTTAAGCTGCTGTAAATCATAAGATAAACACTAACAGACACTAAGTAAAATGATTAACACCTGTTTTCTGCAATCGTTAAACCTATAGAGTCACATCAGTGAGAACGAAGAGGAAGTGGAGCTTGTGAAAACATTGTTCCCAAGCTGTAAATCCTACACTGATGTTTACCTCATGCACAACCTGCTTACAGATAGAGTGAGTGATATTCAGAGATGATCATTATACATTAAAGACCCGATGACATATATTTTTATATATTTTTGTCTGTCTAATATATTACTTTATATATATTTTCTACATTGATACCGTTGTTACTGATTCATTGTAGAATTTTATAGATTTTATGTTCTAAATTGTGTTGCAACGTGACTGTATATTTAATGAGCATATACAGAGTCCAAGTGTGAAAGTCTGAAGTCTATGCATGACATAAGCAAATGTCAGTCTTTTTTTAACAGTTTCATCTGTAATTCCATTACAAATACAGTCATTATTGGAAAACCACTTTACCTTAGGGTACTATGCACCTGTAATGAGATGAATGAAATTTGTTACTTGCATTTATTTATTTTTTACTTTTTAAAAGGTGTAGTAATATTTTAAACCACCTTTGCCCTTAAAAATGAATAAATAGGGAGGAACTCCTGGTGTAGAATGGGTTTGAGTCTTTAAAATTGTAGCAACACAAATACATGCAGCTGTTTGACAATATACAGTTTTGTGAGTTTAAGAAGATATATATGAATATTTCATATAAAGCTGCACTTATCTACTGAACCAATATGTTTTTAATGAAGGTATTTTACATATTTTGGTTTGTTGTCATTAGCCCTGTGGATGTAAAGGGCTTGCTTGAGAGGTTCTGAATAATGTGCTTTGTAAAATTAGTTTGTAATCAAGAGTTCAGAACAGTGGAGTGCATTGCCATTTGTTTGAGCATACAAATTCTCTGCTCTGAATAGATTATGCTCTTCCCCACAATCATGGGGAAGACTGCTGATCTGACAGTTGTCCAGAAGACAATCATTGACACCCTTCACAACTATTGAGATGCACCTGTATATATATTTATTCATTTTCATTATTTACACTTTATTAACTTGTGGAACAACACATTTGATGATTTTAAAGAGTTTTTCATTTTGGATTATTGAGTTAAATTTGGTTCTTTTCAATGAACTGGTTCAAAAAATTATTCATTAATTCATTCATATTCTAAATATATGGTTATTTTGAATATGAAGCACCTTTCCTGTTATTCCAGCTGTTATATTGAACCTTTGCAGAATCTTAGTAATATAAAAGGTTAGATTTAAGACTTGAAATTTGTTTGGAATTAAATTATGTAAACTGACTATTGCAGACTGTAATGGCCCAACTGATGAAAAACTGGAGATCTTCCGTGAAACAGGATCTGCAATCTCTCACTGTCCAAACAGTAACATTTCGTAAGCACCTCAAGCCTTTTAGTAGTAGTATTCATTTTCAGATCCCTTTAAAATATTCTCATACATGTTGTATTTTTTTCATTTATTGTCTCTTTTTCCATCCCAGGATTTGCAGTGGGATGCTAAATGTGCGCAATGTTTTGAACCACAAAGTGAAATTGGGTTTGGGGACAGGTGACGTTTTTTGTTTCTATTACTGAATCCCTGATTAATAAATTGTTGCTAGGCCATTTTGTACTTTGTAGAGGAATATTCTTTCTTAGAAAAAGCTTTAAGATAATAGGCTATACATGTAAACTCAAATCATTTCATGTCCAGGTCTATGTATGTATTTGTTTATTTGTGAGTAGCCATGTATTTGGCAGGATATGTACAGTTGGTCATTATCCCTTGGATATTGTGTATTGTGTGCATTGTATGGTTTTGTCTGTGCCGTATGTAGATGTAGCAGGAGGCTACTCCCCATCCATGCTAGATGCTATGCGAAGAACTCTTGATACGTCCAAAACCCTGACCATCCAGGATCCTCAGCATAAGACTCTGAGCTTTGAGGAGGTTTTCAGATTGGCTACACTTGGAGGCAGTGAAGGTAAGATTCCAGCTTTCATTGACAAGCATGTTATTTAATACTAGCACAGTATACTATATAAACTTGCCTGGTTGTTCTCCCCACTCCCTACAGCCCTCTCACTGGATGATCAGATCGGAAACTTTGTGGTTGGAAAGGACTTTGATGCCCTGCGAGTGAATGTTTGCGTTCCCGATGGACCGATCGATTTGTTTCCTGGTGAAGGCCCCAAGGTACAACAGATGTACTACTGACCTTTCCCGCCCTCATACTGAGAAAACAACATCAATTGGTTTAATGCTTTTAGTGTGTGGTTATACGCAAACACACTGGTCTTATTGCAAAAACAATCAATATCAATTAATATCTTTTGCATACATAAATTATAAAGAATGCCTCATTTGATGTGCTTTTTTAATAGGTCATTTTGGAGAAGTTTTTAAATTTAGGTAAGTTGCTAAAGAAACATTTTGAAATGCTTTTTATTTATTTTTTAATTTTTTAAATATCCCTTTAATTCAGAGACTCCTGTCTTATCTAAGTTCTTAATATATTTGTTTTGAAAAGGTGACAATCGAAATATTACTGAAGTCTACGTGGCTGGAAGACGAGTGGTTCCATTTCCAGATACATAGTATCTAGTTGTTTTTAGGCATATTTATTTATTTATTTATTTTTGATCGCTTGTTTCATGATAATACACTGCAGGTATTTGTGACACTCTCTCACACACCGCTCTAATCAGAGGCTCTTAGCTGTCTGTCTCCACTACATTTGTTTCATGCCCACTATACAACAAACAAGTTCTAATTTAGTAGCAGATAGTAATTTATTCATGCTTCTAGACTAGTTCTCAATGTTTTTGAACTGAAATTGAGTGGTCAGCATTTCAAGCGGTGACAGCAGTGTCCCTTCAGTATGAAATGCTATATATCTCAAATAATTTTAAACAGCATCTTTTCTAATTGTAAGTTGTATACACGAGTTAAGAGACTATGTGGAATTGTTATACTCAAAAATAGTGATTTGTCACACTACAGGACTATTTAAAGGAATTGTAATAAAGTGACATCTAAAATTATGCACTTTCCCTTATACATTTATATATATATTTTAACAAAATCTTGAAAAGTTTGTCCATGTTAGGGTTAAAATGAGCCCACCCTCAAAAACAGCGGATTGTTCCCCCAACATACACACAACTTTACATATTAAATAATGTATACAGTTATTATTATAATTATTATTATATAATTCATATATGTCAGCTGCCGATTAATTGGTAAAATAATTGATAACCACATGGAGGCGCTAAGAGACTGCAGCTCTCACTCCAGTCTACTGCCTCACAGCGATGATGTCTCAATTAGGTAATCACTATTAGCAAAGAAAAAACATCAATTATGATGTGCTTCAGCGAGTGTGAGTCATATTTGACTCATATTTTCTCAATATACTCATATTTGACTCACATTTTATATTAAAATATAAAATACCAGTAAACATGATTTTGTTAGTATTGTAGATTATTCTTTTTTCTCAAATGATCTGAAACATTTTTATGCATTATTATTTTATGCCATGCAAGCTTGTATCTTTTTCAGCTGAGGTTTGTTGCACCACAATGCCAACATTCCAGTTCTGAACTCTCTGTCAGTCAGGTCTGTCTTGTGTGTTTGGAAAATAATCTGAACACATTGCAAATCTTGCTTATGACTAATCGGGAGACAGAAGCCATGAACCTCCAACATATATTTAATTAGATGTAATTACAGACATTTTTACAAACCAAAACAACAGCATTCACAGAAGAAAATGTAAGGGACACATTCTTTGCTATATATTCTTGCTGATAAGAACTGGGAAGATGCCCCTCTTAAGAAGTAACTCATGGAATTACTGAATAATAACCCCATGTATTATATTAACCCCTTAACTGTCACCATCCCACCTGTGGGACGCTTGGCACCTTTTTTTTTTTTTTTTGTCCTGTTTGATTCATCAAATCATATTAAAGGAATAGTTCACCCAAAAAGAGTTTGTTTCTTCATTGGAACAGATTTAGAGAAATACATCACTTGGAAATGTTTTGGACTTGTTTGTGCTAGTAAACAATGCTTGACCTGTGCACATTTCTCTCTGATTCAGACTAGATGACTTTTCACTGGAGAAAGCGATATTTCATGGAACTTTATTTTAGCTGGACGAAATGGCTTGGAGTTAAAAACATCTTAATGATGGTTTTGTTTCTTACTATGCAGCTTTTCACTTCACAAGATGTTAATTAATGGACTGGACTGGAGTCATGAAGAATTCTTGTGGATTTTTGTGATGTTTTTATCAGCTGTTTGGACTCTTATTCTGACACTGCAGAGGATCTATTGGTGAGCAAGCGATTTAATGCTAAAATTTTCCAAATCTATTCTGATAAAGAAACAAACTAATCTACATCTTGGGTGGCCTGAGGATGAGTACATTTTCATCAACTTTTAATTTTTGGGTGAGCTATCCCTTTAAATACAAAAATAATAGCAAAATGAAGTGAACCTCAAAACTGTCTGCTTTTGCGCTCTAGCACAAGGGCTTGAACCACAGCCATCTAGCAAACAGCATAAGTGTCTCAGAGCGAGAGAGAAGCAGAAGTGAGGGAGAGCGTAGAAACATGGGAGTGAAAGACAAAGAGGCACACAGTTGCGAGACTCGAGACGAACGCGCTGACAATGAGGCAGAGGCATGAGTAAAGCGCATGTGAGTGGGCGGAGCCTCGCACACAGACGCGGTGGAAGCTGTGAATGGAGAATGAGGTGAGCCTGTGTCATATGCAGTGACGTCATAATACCCATCTAAACCCCGCCCCCTTCCTGCCGCCTCTCAGAATTGCTGAATCAGACAGAGCTGGATCAGTCTGGCTGGGAGTTTCCAGGCTAGGCCACACATGGTACATTAAATATTTGTGACAGGCATACATAAGCACTTAACAACACAGTCAATCTTATCTGACCAATCATTTTGACCATAAAATAGTTTAATATGGTGTAGGAAGATGATTGACGCCTTGTGTAAAAAAATTCAAGGAGTCAAAGAGGTTCCCATACCTGTCATAATCCCCTCTCTTGATGTAATCTGACTGACTGACTGATTGAACTTCCTGTGAGATCTACCCTGAGGTGGCCTACACAAGCAGCTTTGTGAGCCACACCCAGACACACAAGTTAAAGGGTGATTTTACTCTACTGTTAACTGATTACCATCTTCCTGGCTATGCCTCAAGGAGCAAAAGCTCGGTACACACGAAACAGCTCGGGAACATTACGGTAAAGTTGAGAAAAGGAAAACATTTACATTTGGAGTTTCCTATGAACTGAGAATTGTGTCGGATTGGAGTGTTTACTTGTGCGGGGTGTTGTTAGGTCGAGAGAGATGTGTGAGTTCAGGGGTGGAACTCACTGCATCTGTCATAATCTGGTTACACCGGCCGTTCTAGTTCATTGTACACAGTTTTAAAATAAATAAATACATACAACAACAACAAAAAACTAACCTCACTAAAACTGAAAAGCTAAGTTTGCTACCTTAAAATTATCTTCACACTTTTTCTATCACGTTGAATGGAGAAATTCAAGATGGAACTGTGGAAACATTCTGAAATTGAGCAGAAATGGCACATTTATTATTTCAGGATTTTAAACTTGAAACAAGAAAACATGCCAATGGGGTAAGAAATCGACTTATTTCAAAGTGAAAATCTGTTTTTCTTACTTCACTGGCAGATTTTTTCTTATTATTATTTTAAGCATAAACTTAGTTAACTTTGATACATTTTTCAGAAAACAAGGTTTAATATCATAGGTCATTTTTCGTCACAAGTAAATGTTTCTTGATTTAAGAATGTTTAGGTATTTATACTGGAAAACAAGACAAAATACTGATTAAGAAAATCACTTTTTGCGGTGAGCATTTTTATTAGCCATCAATATGCCTTTTACATTTATTTGTAATTGTCGATGAATAGTTTTGTAATACATGTTATATTTTTATTCCTTCATATTTTTTAACTTGTCATTTACATGACCATTTAAATCAGGGATTTCTAAACTTTTTTTTGTCATCTGAACCCCTTTTGGCCTAAAATATTTTCTTGAAGTACACCCTGAGATTTTAATAATAATACTAATAATTTCAATAATTTAACCTCTCATTCACATGTTAACATGTAAACACATTTATTTTATTTTTTTTGAAAAATTGATTGAATTAATTATTAGTCAGTTTAAAGCTTTTAAAAAATGTTGAATTATTTTAAAATTTACTTTTTCAAAAATGCAGAAAATAAATATTACATTTCCTTCCTGTTTTAAGTATTTTCACCTCCCTCTCAAGATTTCCCAAAACCTACATTTTCCTTCTTATGACCATGATGCCCATTCACGTTTCATTCCTTTAAAACTCCTGTCTCATGGTTGTGAGCCTTGCCTTCTTCTCCTCAGCCGAACTCATGACTGAGAAGCCAATTTACAGCCTGTAACTCACACAAGGTTTAATGTGGGAAGAACAAGCTGAACTCTGTGTGAGACCCCATCTGCTCCCCTGCTGAACAATTTCCATGTCCTGCCTTTAATGCAGCCACAGGTCATTACTTTTACTTTTGTTACAGAGTTCTAAGCCACACAGTTTTTCCGATCAGCTCTCCTGTTCAACTATGCCTCAATATACCTCTTTGTATCCTTGGTTGCCCCTCCCTCTGACGCCTGCCTACATTCTGTGGCATAGGCATCTGCCCTCAACATCTGTCACCACCCGTCACTGCGATGTCATCCACCCAGACCGGCTTAACGCCCAGCCCCCTCTGTACAAATACAGAGAGCGGGCCGCAGACGCTGACTAGTCAAGAGTATGACAATAACACCAAATGACTGGACGGTGATACAAAAAGATTTTCCTTTAAGGGACAGAGATGTACTTTGAAGACAAGACAGGAAAAGTATATCTGAATATCCTGCGTGCTTGATTGAGGGTGACACTGAGGGTACACACCAGCTGTTGTCATTCCTTAGAGGGCGACACACCATCTCCAGCTGTCTGGCAGGATTGTCAAATCTGCTTTGGTTGCGAGTACAGAAGTGCTAAAGGTGGTCAGGACAGCTGCCGTGAAAACAGGATGTCTTTGCGTCAGCAGCCGGGACAGGTGTGCGAAACAAACAACATCTGAAAAATCATTCGGCTGTCAGGAAATCTACAATTTGGGCCTTCTGCTGTGTGTTATTCAGTATAAGAACGCCTACAAACTACTCACTTAAAAACAATTGACTGCATGACGACATCATGAAATTCCCCCCAAAATAGCAACAGAACAACATGACTGTATATTTTCTCTCTGTATATTTTTATTTACATTACTTTTTTCTTTAATGCCAGGTAAAAGGATTAAATGCAGTACATAAATATGAACACAGTAAGGTTTTTTTCATACAAATTTGAAAATAACTAAAGGCTGAAATTAAACCTCAAACAGATACATACTCTCAACAGATCTTTTTTCTTTTCTTTTCTTTTTTTTTTTTTTAGGAAATCTCACTCCCTACAGACAAAAAGACATTTATACACACACAATACATGCACTCGGACTCTCTTACATTAACATATGCAGACACACAAAAATGACAGGTGCATTTTAAAACAAATAAAAAGAACAATGTTTCACAGAATCGGGTCTGACTTTATGCCTATACTATTGCGGTGTTATGAATGCACTGACTAAAGGAGGGTTAGCTCATCTCGCTTTGACAACAGGAAGAAGGGCTTGTGCGCAAATTTCCCTCGTGCGCACAAGTATGCTCACACGGAAACAGACTGTACCACCTTACAGTCTTATCAAAAAGTCACACATAATTAACACAAATAAAACTCCCAGGCGTCTGAAACTCTAAAACGCAGAATGGATGTTATTGGTTCTAGAATGTTAGAAAAGAGTTGTCTACAACAGACGAATAATGAAAAAAAGAATTCTGATGAATCTCAACCTTTCATTCAAAAACAAAGAAAAGGTATGATGTCACAGTAGCAAGTTCACATTCTAAAATTATTCTAAATAAACGGTATTAACTGGGTGGCCTCACGTTCCAACTGGTTTTGCTAGAACAGACGGTAATGACAAACTGCAGTTTAACAGACCAATACATGCTGCACACATCACCGTGTAGAGCTTTGACACACCTCTTAAAAATCCAGCGTCATTCATGATAATATGTCAAAGGCTGAAACCTACTTACTCAGAAACTACACGGCCACATTTTGGCACTGAGTATCTGCCACTCTCATTGCATGAGGGCGGGAACAGGCAAAAAATTTAAAATAATAATTATTTCCTAAAATTTCCTGAAAGGTGTCCTATGCTTTAATAAACAAAAGCATATGCGTGAATAACTAGCATTAAACACCACGGAGAGGACAAAAAACTAAACTAAAAGAAATTAATACCTATTAGA